TCTATTTTAGTTTGAAAAGATTCATCGACGTATCCTTCTGCAACGGCGCTCGACTTCCAACCGCCGTGTTTCTTTAGTTGAATTAGGTGTCCTCCAGAATCAACTAATAAACACGCAGACGATCGTCTAAATGCGTGTCCGGTATAATTGTCGGGATTTGGTAAATTGAGGTACTTAGGTAGCAATAATTGATGGAATTTTAGAAAAGGTATTTATACCGACAACTTGGGTTTTGTAATTGCCGTTTCGATATTGTAAGAAAAAGTGTTTTATATTTTTTGGTCTTTGAGATTTATACTTCCGGTAAATATCGATTAAATTGAGGTTTTTCTGATTTGTTTCGCCAATTACGGTAATTCGACGTTGAATATGTGTTTTTGAATCCGGAATAGTAATGATAAGCACATGTCCGGTATCATTAATATCTTCCACAGTCATCTTGTATAGTTCTTCACGGCGGAGGGCACCCGCGATTCCAAAAATGAGAGCAAGCTGTAAACGACAATACATCATGAATCGTATAATGGTCAAATTGTTAATACCTTGTGCATAAGAAACTGTTCATCGGGAGCATTGTGAAGGAACTTGTACATTTCATCTCGAGAAAATGTCCTTGATTTCTTGGGTTTGTGGCCAACGGACTTGTTCTTCAAATAAGCAATTAGCTTTGTGTATTTCCGTATATCCACATTATTATTGATTAACAGTGTAACCTTTAGTTTAGAATAGGTCGACCAAAGTGTTGGCGGCGTCCATTGTTTTGATTTTTCTTCAAAATAACATAATAACACCCTTTCACTAAAACTTCTAACGTGTTTTTCGGTTCCCCATTTCATAAATAAATCATATTCCTTCAAATATTGGTCCTTGGACTTTTCGGGTAACAGATTGGAGGTGGCGATACCTGCCGCGTTCACAATTTCTTCGGGGGTGCATGAAAAACTCGCATCACTGTCCATTTCCATCGTTCAAGCACACAAATTACCCAAAACACAACGAGATGAACTTAATACGTACTTGTAATTTTAACAAATGTCAGCGAGTATCATAGCAACGGCGGCCTCCTATGTTTCTTGTCTAAATAGTTTGCGTTAAAAAAATGACACGTTACGTTACTTTTTGCGCGATCGGTCATTTCTGACTATTTACCATGGGTGTTTCCATGACAGTACGTAGAATTTACCAGTTGCTATGATTACGACGACGCCAAAATTACTTACCGATCTAAAAACAGAACAGCAAAAATACTTACCGACTCCTTTTTAAAAATCAACAGTCTTACATTACATTTAATCTTTAATTATTGTTAGGTACATTAAACGTACAATTTGTGCTGTTGTTTCCTATAGCAAGACGCTCATAAAGTCATAAAGGAAGTGCAAAGGTAGTAAACTACATCAGACACATGCACATTTTTCTGAAATTATTAATTTCAATTTTGACATTTAAACTGGTTGCCTAGTGATGTACACCAGACCACTTCGAACATTTCGATTTATTCTGCTCGTTAATTTCTTAGTGCATAGTTATATATTGGTTGGATAATTTTAATTTCGATCGCGCAAAAAAAGTTATAAGCACGTCGAACGTTAAGGGTTACCGTTCTCAGACAATAATTGGAGTCGTCACTTCGCTCCTCCTCCAAACAATTGTCTTCGAACGGTAAAAATCCCTTACCGTTCTCCATACTTAATATACTATTTTTCACTCAAATGCGTTAAAAAATGAACCGCTACGGCACTTTTTTTCACGCTACTAAGCGGACGAAACAAACGCATCCTTTATGAACGCAAATTGATGGAAAATGTTGTACTTTATTTTATGTCTTACCACAGCCGTCTATAATTACAAGCCATGCTGAGAAGTTTGGCAACGTTGTCCGAAAGTCAATCGGTGGGCCGATGTAAGTTTTAATGGCGTTTTGTTGCTCTTGAAAAATTGCATCTTTCCTCTCTCCTGTGTTTCGCCTTGGTGGTTTTAATACAGAAGAAAGATACTTAGACAGCTTACAATTGTACATATATTTTATTCATTTACAAAAATGGATAATAACATTTTTATTTGACTTTAAATTTCGAAACGCTGTAAATCGGTAACTGCATCATAATGTGTTTTCCATCGAGATCTCCAAAATTGGTGAACTTTTTACGAAAGAGGTCCAGGTGAAGCACACGTTTGAGCACTTAATTTCGGCAAAAGGATAGTAAATCACTGTGTATCAGAGAAGTTTTATCAACGACCAGGTGCGATTCGGAATGGAAGATTTTAAGCCAGTCGCTACTCCAGTGGGTCTAGTCTAGGTAAGAAGCTTTTAAAGTGGGGAGCCCCGTAGACTTCAAATTCCCGTACCGTGAACTCCTGGGCATAAGTCGGAAGGTTCCTTCATAAAATCGACTTGACATGTCCGTGCTAGAATACCTTAAATTCAAACTAATTGTGTTTTTTCACAATAAACACTTACCGTACTTACGTACCACGTACTGTGTAGGTCATATTTGAGCTTGTACAGGTACTTCGAACAAATACAAGTGCTTGTAAAGGATCCAGTAAGGAGTAGCCTGCTTTACAGGTTATGACAACAAATCGATATATTTCGTTTAGCAACTTACCTGAATAATAATTTCTGTTCATTCCGTACGGAGTAACACAAATTGTCGCAATCTCGTTCTATTAAAACAGGTAAATAGGAATATTACACCCAAAACACATATAAAATACACCTGAAATCTGTCAAGTTGAATTAGGAAATCGGCCTACCATGCAGTGTTGCCATAATTCTCAGCACGGCTTGTAATTATAGACGGCTGTGGTCTTACTAACCTATCATAGCACATTTTATATCTGTGATACTTTATGCCCTAGGGCAATAAGTATCACCATAGTAACTCATTTATACTTGACAAAACAAACAAATATTTGCAGGTCATTGAAAATTAGAAACGTCAATTATTAATTGTCAATATCTACTAAATCACAAGATTGGCCTTATTTCGTATAGTTTCTGAAACTTCTTCCTCATTCACGATGAATTGAATTATTTAAAATTACGTTTGACGTTTGGATGGTTTCAATCACATTAACAAATTTGAACGCATACTCGATCAAACATAATGAATTATTTTGTAAACGAATTTTGACGAAGAGAACTATTTGTAAAACATAAAATTGTGTATGCACCACGGGCATAAACTGATGTTTATACTCTCGGGGAGTTCCCAATGTTATTGCTATAATGGTATTATTGAATTTGCATCTTAAAATGTAAGGGAAAACCGCAGTTCTACGGTCGAAAGTTGTTTAATACAATCCTTACGCAGTGGCGGATTTATACTTTTGCCGCCCAGGGGCTTTGGGAAACTTGCCGCCCCTAGATCACTCTTACCACAAAAATAGCCCACAACTTCATAAATCCTATGGCTAAAAAATAAAATCGCAATCTAAGGGAGTTTATTGGTTCGTGGACTATTCGACTACAGAACAAAATGCTTATAAGTAATAAGTATTTTTATTAGATTATTCAACAATTTATTGGATTAATCAAAACAATTTTCTCCGTGAACTTTCTTCAGAAAATGAACGTATCACATCATCGAAATCTAATTTTCTGGTTATTTCCGATTCGATCGTTAGGATTGCCAGGTAATTTGCCGCCCCCCAAAATTTGCCGCCATCATGGGCCCGTGCCCTTAGTGCCCCCCTCTAAATCCGCCTCTGTCCTTACGGCTTGTTTAAATGAATAGTATGATTGGTATCTATTGTTCTATTCATTTAAACAAGCCGTACCTAAGGATTGTATTGAACAACTTTCGACCGTAAGAGTGCGGTTTTCCCTTACATTTAAGTCAATGCATTTAAGATTCAAATTCAATAATATCATTTATCGCAATAACATTGGGAACTCCCCTAAGAAATGTTAACTTTTTCCCTGAATCCACATTATTTCAGAATAGAAACTATTAAAAGTATTGCAGTTTAATTCTGTGCTGTCCCTTTGAGTAGACTGTCATCGTGATTAGGGTCTCACTCCCAGACGAAGACATATGTCATAGAGTAAATATATTATTTACTCTATGCCTGTATATTATTTATGCTGGTAATAGGACTGTAATAACTAAAAAAACATATCTTCAGGGCGCATTTAAATTGAGTGGGATAGCAGTTGATTCGTTGGCCATAAGTACTATATGAATTGGGAATGCAGCAAAAGACACGATTGTCCACAAGTTTACAAATAAAAAATGACCGTTTGCACCATCAAGTGAAAACTGAGTTTGAGGCTGCCATAAATTGATTAGATTAAATTTGATGGTGGAATCGGTCATTAGGTAATAATGAACAAACTCAGTTGTATAAGGCAATTGGAATCTTCACTGGAGCGGTGCGAACGCCTACTTCCATTGTACTTAAGGTCGCCGCGGTGAAGCGGCTTTTTTGCTCACATTGATTTAAGGAGGCAAACACTCAGTTGCAGGCGCAGTGTTTTGAAATCAATGTTAGCGAAAAACGCGCTTCGCCGCGCCGCGGATTAGTGTGCGACGACCTTTAATGCGCATTACGTTCAAACATAGACCAAAGAATACTTCTTTGCATAGACCAAAAATACCTAGTGTAAGTAGACCATGGTTCAAGTAAATGCATCCTCATACAATATCATTTAAAAATATTTTCCTCGGCGAGTCCCGCTACGTTTCAGTGAACGCTTACCTTTAGACTGATTTGTCTCCCTTCTTTTTTATTTTTATATATAATTGAACACAGCTTCTGAGCATTTGGAAAGGTTAAAAATACTTTAGATTTCAAATTTATTGTATGACTTTTCTCTAACAACTAAATCAGCACATTCAATTCTTTCTCTAAATTTTAAAAGAATAATTCTCACTAATACTGCTAAGCAGTATTTCACATCAGTTTGAAGTTTACATCTTCAAATCTCACTAGAATCTATACCACAAATTATCACTAAAACCTAAATGTTATATCACAAAAATAGTGTACAACAGTTCATCATCATGATGTTACTACTATATTTCACTTTCATCACAACAAAGAAGCGTATCAGTTTCATAGAACTAAAACTGATCGACTTCGATTCCCAAAAATTAATTGGTAATAAACACGTATATCCAACTAATACATAAACGCACTTATATAATGTTATGTAGGTATACTTAGGTATATTTACATTAAAGTATTAAGATATTTAATTTTACAATACTCTTTATATTTGACAGAATATAAAAGTGGCAGTTAGTGGTTAATTGCGTAATATTTCAATAGGTGTAAATATTAAAAAATAAATATCTATACCTTTTCCCGTTTATTTTTTACTTTATAGTCTATGATGATTTCATCGCCTGATTGAATGTTGTAACTGTACAGTTGTTTATGTGGATATCGCATTTCCTCTGGTCCCTGAATGAGAAGAGGATAATTAAAATTAGTTAATTTACTAAGTACCCACCTGATGATCACGTAAATCCTTATCAACATAAAATAATCGCATATTTGAAGCAGAAAAACCTGCAAACGCCTCCAGTTTTAATTTGAGATCACTGACTGTTCTATAGACATCTAAGGATCGAATCTCACTGTTATTACCGCATGTGAATGTAACTTTTACCCTTTTCTCTGGACGTAAATCAACATTTACCAAAGGATCTAGTTTTCCATGTACTGCCACTAAATCGAAGTATCTGCAAGTAATTATTACACTCACAAAATATTTCCAAATTAATATCAATTACCTTTCAGGCCGCTCACTTTCGGGTTTATCCATGTAATAACGTATAAAGGCCCTCTCTGCGTCTTCTCTCTCATCTGCCTCAATTATTCCACCACCATTCAAGATTTCAACATTAGGCAATCGGGCTATTAGCAGTTGCCGCCGCTCGTGTTCCGTGTACTCGTGGCTCTCCCATAAGCGACAGCCCTGGAAAAGAGTTTGGTTAAAAGAATAATTACAGAACTCATATACGTTACCTGAATACGTAAATAATGAAGATTTGGAAATTTGGCTAATCGTTCTATATCGTCCCATGTTGATATAGAAGTGGAATTTAGATTAAGAACTTTTAAGTTTCTGAAACTGTCATGTGGCGACTCCGCTCGCTCACCAGACTCGCACTCACTTTCGCTCCTGACGAAGTTTGGGTTGGTTTCTGAATTTTCCTCGCCGTTTTCTATATCTAGTGATTCAATAGGACAGTCTGCCACAACTAGCAATTCCAAATTGGGGAACCCATAACCGAGTTTGCATACTTCATTCCATTTCGATATGGGGTTTCCAGTGAAGTGAACTTTTTTAATTCCAGTGTGTGTATGTTTTTTTTTATAATCAACTTGGGGACAGCTACACTTTAGTATATCATCGTTGGCACGGTCCTCTTCGACATCATCAGCACCATAATTGTTGCATTCGCAACAACATTCTGAACACAAATTGACGTGGTCGTATTCGTTTAGACTTAAATGTAGTTCCTCCAGTCGCGGTAAGTGATTAAGGATATGCTGCACGTTTCGCCACGGCACTTGCGTTGAATTTAAAACAAGATTACGCAAATTTTGCCATTGCGTATCCTCTAATAGTTCCGACTTCAAGGGCGACGACAATTGATTGAAACTCAAATTAACAAATTTCAACTGGGGCATTTGTTTGAGTATCGAAAAGACCTGCGAATCACAAAAATACGCTAGAGGCTTCATTTGACAACGGCACGCTTACCTCGGGCCAGTGTTCCAGTTTATTTTTCGCCAAGTCCAATTCTTCTACGCCGGAACATTTGTCGACCAACGCTTGCCTATCGCCAGCCGAAGCGATGTTGCAGTCGTTTAGTACCAGTAATGATGGAACAATCATGCGGGGTGGTTTTCTTGGCACGTATATCGCAACGGAAATGCCCTCCTCCTCTTCTGAACCTTCCGAATCGGTACTGCTCTCCCCATACTTCTGCTCCAGGGCCTCTAACAAAGTCGGCATGTTCACCCTAGAAAATTATAAACGTTAAGTACTACCAGTCCGTAATATTAATTTTGTGAGTTACATTTATCCTCCAATTTGTAGGTGTACAAATTCGTAAATATAAAGTATGTATATGCAATGACGGGACCTACAAATGTCGCGAATTCATGACAGGTAACGACTTGAAAACAAATCGTATCGTGGCAACCACGATTACCGAGTGTTTAGTGTTACGAATTAAATTGCAATGCTAGTTATGTATTCAATCAAATAGACAAAGCAATCCAAATTTGGTATAATTTATTACTATACATAATGCATAGGTAGTAAGACTTAAAGAGAGAGATCAGTTACACAAATGCGGTGTCAAAATTGTAATTCAACGGCTGATTTCAAAATGATGTAGGTAATGTATGAAAAGTTCGCGTTGGTATGTAGCTGTTATTTAAACAAAAAAAGTAGCTAATAAATATTGTTTTTCTATTTCGGTGTCACAATGATGATTTTGTACAACTGTTTTCGGCCGAAAACAGTTATACAAAGACAGTGATTATAGTCGTTTTTTTTGGTAACTCATCTCTTAAGTTGGCAGTTACTAGTTAGTACAAGTAGGTACTTCGTTGGGTACTTCCATGTTTGAACTTCAAAATGTCAGTCTTACTACGCTGCCAACCTAAAACTTAACGGCATAAAAAGTGTTCCCAACATAAAACATGTTAGTTCTAATGTTCCCTATAGTTTCTGATAATGATTTTTTTTAATTAAATTAAAGCACCGAAATAGAAAAAATAGTATGAAAAACGCGTGTTACAATGCTTTATTGTAATACTCCTATCTTGCGGACACTCGTGGCTACGCTTCGCATCGCCACTCGTGCCACAAGATAGTCGTATTACAATAGGTCGCATTGTAACACTTGTCTTTCAATATACTATTTTGTGCAATTGAACGCGAAACAACAACTTCGCGTTCGCCATGGCGGCCGCGAAATTCACTTTCGCGGCCGCTGTCATAGCGACGGCCGTTAAAGTAAAACAATGTCACATATATTTTGACAATCAGCATGTAGGTAATTACAAATCTTTTGGATAAATGTTAATATTAATCGTACAGTTCGTATTGTTACTTATACTTACTCCTGAAAGAAAGTCTAAAGTGTTAGAAGCGTTATACTTTGAAACTGTAACATTTTGATTTTCATTAGAACTCAAACCGACAGGTACACTTTTTTATACACTCGTTTATATTAAGCATGCACTTTAGCATCGAATACACACTCCATAAGCTTGAACTTTTTAAGGTCTTCGATTTTTCCATAAGGTAAGCTAATAGTACATTTTCAGACAAGGTTCCGGATATCGAAGAATCACTTTCGGAGGCACACATTTTGACTTTTCTTTCACGAAAAATTATTCATTGCTTATCTAATTTCCATGGTAAAATGAAAACTGGCCGTCTTTCTATTTGCGACGAAAATTATTATTTTTGAATTCTCATTTTTATTTATTGACCATTCTACACAATTGCACAAAAAATGTTGTGTATACCACGGCCGCGTCATTCTTTAACATCCTCAAAGTTGCCTTGCCTCGGCCGCAAGCGGCCTCGGCGCCAATCTTTTCGGTACGTTAAAGAATGACTTCGCGGCCTAAGTATACAAATAACTATTTGTGTACTTAAACATTGTCAGTGAGCCTTTGTGTACTTGTAAAAATCTCCGAGGTACCAAGGTGAACGAAGATGATAAATTGTAGTTTTAATTGTTTACAAGATGGGTGAAAATTACAATTTTTGAAGCAATAAAGACACCTTATAGATTATGACTAACAGAAGGAGAAAACGCGGCGATATCTATAGTTCTCCTTTCGCCCATGCAAGGTTTGTAAGCGAATCACAATTATTTACCTAAATATACGAAAATAAGAGATGATATTACATTTTAACCTTCATATTCTTAATATGAACAGTGAAGGTAACGAAATTATCTAAAAAATCATCAACAAAGCGCAATTAATTATAACAAATATGCTATAATTGACGTAATTCCCTTGAATCACGATAAAAACTTTCATACTTCAGGAAATTATATTTCGTACTTCATTCGAAGAGAAATGCGGCTTTTGCAATTACTAGCAATTAAATACAAGAAAACCTTCCAAGACGGATCTAAAAATTGAGCGATGATTTAAGAAAGATTTTGTAACAATTTCATATAGGTAAAAAAAAAGGCGTTAGCTCCCTCTGCGCCCAAATGCATATTGCGCTCCGGGCGGTTACCTGGGTCCGATTATCCCAAGGAAAATGGGATCCTTGATACTTGATACTTTGATATATGCCTGGCGTCACCGTCTCTCCCTACAGGATTTAGTTAACTGGAGTGGGGATGCGTCTCTAGGGAATAAAAACAATTGCATGTTGCAAGAAGTAGGTACTTTTTAATCATTCAATTGTTTATGTTTTTAGGCACCTAACATTGGTCCGATTTTCCCTCGGATTTTCCGTAAATTTTTCGAATATAGGTGACACTATAAGAATATCCATCCTAGTTATTGCCAAATGTTACCGGTTACAGGTTTTCTCGTGCAAATCACGTTCTGGTTGTCGACAGTGCAATCTGCTGTATCAAGTACAACAAAGGTAATAAGCATTTCTATATTGTCAAGTTTAAATCCGCATCCGTAACTTAACACAATGCTTTAATTTTTGTTGCCTAAAAATTGAAGTGAAAAATTATAGTTTCAATCAAAATTTCACGTATAAGTTGTCTAACTTTAATTGTATCTCAATCAATCTTTATTAGCGACATTTGGTAAAAACTTTTTACAATCAATCAACTCCAAATACATTAGACATCCGTTTTAGATTAATTAAAAAAATTAAATTATATAAGTTAACGATTAGAGTGCATCTCAACTGTTTTTAAAGATAGAGCCTTACGGTTTTCGTGACCCAGGTCAGTTTTTGTGAAACTTTTAATACCACAAACAGACTCAATCCAGCTAGAATTCTCAGATACAGAGTGAAAGCGATAAGTTTGCCTTTTTTGGGATTTTACCATATCTGTATAGCACCCCTGTAAGATAAAAAAAAAGGTGAAAGGTGTCTATTTTAGATATTTTTAGGTAGAATCCAGTGGCGTAGTAAATAATGTTTGGACCACCGTTTCTGAGCCTAAAAAATAAAGTTATTATTTTTGCCTCATGGCTAAAATTTAAAAAAAATATTGCAAAAAATTGACGTAAAAATATACAAGGTGTTGTTGCATTTAAAAATTATCAACTTTGGGTCACAAAGTTTTGTTTGCATTCTTTTTCCTGATTACACTGATCCATCATAACGTATATTTTTTTAAATTTTAGCCATGAACCAAAAATAAAAACCTTATTTTTTATGATTTTTAAATGACTATGCTATTTAACTACGCCACTGAGTCCCCCTACATCTAAGAACCAAACGTAGTTTCACAAAAAAGTGGCACAGGGTCACGAAAAACGCAAGTCTCTATCTTTAAAAACTGCTGAGATACACTGCAGTCTCAACCAAAATGACACACGGTACAACATCACTTTTAATTGCTTTTCTTGACTTTGTTAATTTAGTTCGTGTATTTGCGTGGGCTATGCCAGGGTTTTTGTCCCGACGGAGGTTTTCCTTTCCTTTCCCATTTATGTAGAAAAAGAACAGCCAGTTTTAATATGACTGCTACCCAGATTCGAAAGTGCTGCGAAACGTCCGTCGTTTTGACATGAAAGTAACGGTAGCTCTGCTTGTGAGTATGGACCAAGTCAAGATTGTTATTACGAACAAACAGTTAAACTTATTTTTTTTTTAATTTTTTCTTAGGTCCAAATAATGTCCACCTTGTTAGTAAAAGATCGCGATAACCGGTTACAAACAACTACCGAAACTTTTTTAAGTATTTGGTCAATAAAAGTCGTCGATGTAATTGGTATTCTACCTACAATGCAGCACTGTCCGTATGACTGCCTACATACGTATTCTCTTCCATTGATTGCATGATGCTATGTAAACATAGTTAGTGATGACGTCATAATATCCAGACTAAGGAAAATCCGAGGGAAAATCTATATAAAGGTTCCTAATGATACAAGATCTTTTCGTTCTGTTGTTCGTCCATCTGCTCCTCGTCTAACTCGAGAACGAAGAGACAGCGATGTCAATCAATTTCTAAGAGTTCAGAAATGAGTGCGATTGAATATGAGCCGGATTAAAAGTCTTGTTTCCCAATGCGAACTGAGGGTCAAAAAATTCCCCTACTTGTAAATCGTATGCGATTCTTCGTATCTTGTTTTATCTTGTGATTAGATAGTATGTCGTAGCTTTGTCAACATTTTCGATTTGTGTATTAATCACTTAGGTAAATAAAATAAAGGAGTCGCATACACGACGATCTTAGTCTATTGCCACGATTGTAAACTCATTAGAAGAGTCGATGGAGAATAATATAAATAATTGAGTGATAGATGTAGCTAGTGTTCAATATTGGTTGTAGTTTCACACTTATTTCTTTTATTAGAAAAAAGAAAGAATCTTATTAGCTAGATTTCGCCTAGCCACTCAGCTTATAGAAGAATCAAGAATGCGTCTTATTTTATAAATTTTATTAAACTTTATTACGTGGGTTTATAAGGACTTCACCCTGAGTAAATTTAATAGATACAGTGGGTGCATTAAACTAAAACAATAGCGATTGTCATTTCATTTGTGTGATATGTAGAACTGCTACAGTGCAGTAGCCTCCTTTTTCCGTTGGTTTGAAAACCAACATGGGGGAGTTAGTCAGAACCTCTCAAACATGATAGGCAAAAGAGGAAATATGAACAAAATCACGTGCAGATTTAGAAATAGACAACTTAAATAACACTTTTTGCATTACGTAATCGGAATAGAAGAATGTGTGAGAAGAAGGCATGCCAATTTGTTACATTCAAGTGAGTTGTTGGCACCAAATCTTGGCAGTAATGTCTAAATTTCTAGATCACTCGTCCGCTTATAAATATTAAC